CCTTCTTGGCCACAAGGGCACACTGCTGGCTCATGTTTAACTTGTTGTCCACCAGCACTCCCAGGTCCTTCTCGGCAGAGCTACTTTCCAACAGGTCAGTCCCCAGCCTGTACTGGTGCATGGGATTATTCCTGCCTAGGTGCAGGACCTTGCACTTGCCTTTGTTGAACTTCATGAGGTTCCTCTCCGCCCACCTCTCCAGCCTGTCCAGGTCCCTCTGAATGGCAGCACAGTCTTCTGGTGTGTTAGCCTCTCCCCCCAGTTTAGTATCATCAGCCAACTTGCTGAGGGTGCACTCTGTCCCTTCCTCCAGGTCATTGATGAATATATTGAACAAGACTGGGCCCAGGACTGACCCCTGGGGGACACCACTAGCCACAGGCCTCCAACTTGACTCTGCGCCATTCACCACAACCCTCTGAGCTCGGCCATCCAGCCAGTTCTCAAGCCACCTCACCGTCCACTCATCTAGCCCACACTTCCTGAGCTTACCTAGGAGGATGTGATGGGAGACAGTGTCAAAAGCCTTGCTGAAGTCCAGAAAGACAACATCCACTGCTCTGCCCTCATCTACCCAGCCAGTCATTCTGTCATAGAAGGCTATCAGATTGGTCAAGCATGATTTCCCTTTGGTGAATCCATGCTGACTACTCCTGATCACCTTCTTGTCCTCCAGATGCTTAGTGATGACCTCCAGGATGAGCTGTTCCATCACCTTTCCCGGGATGGAGGTGAGGCTGACAGGCCTGTAGTTTCCTGGCTCCTCCTTCTTGCCCTTTTTGAAGACTGGCGTGACATTGGCTTTCTTCCAGTCCTCAGGCACCTCTCCTGATCTCCAGGACCTTTCAAAGATGATGGAGAGAGGCCTAGCGATAACATCCGCCAGCTCCCTCAGCACTCGTGGGTGCATCCCATCGGGGCCCATGGATTTGTGGATGTCAAGTTTGGACAAAAGATCTCTAACCCGATCCTCCTCAACCAAGGGAGAGTCTTCCTTTCTCCAGCCTTCCTCTCTTGTCTCCAAGGTCTGGAATTCCTCAGGACTGGCCTTAGCAGTGAAGACGGAAGCAAAGAAGGCATTCAATAACTCTGCCTTCTCTGTATCCTTTGTCACCAGGGCACCCGCCCCTTTCAGCAGCGGGCCCACGTTTTCCCTAGTCTTCCTTTTGCTATTGATGTATTTGAAGAAGGCCTTCTTGTTGTCCTTGACATCCCTTGCCAGATGTAATTCCAACTGGGCCTTAGCCTTCCTTGTCGCATCCCTGCACGCTCTGACAACGTCCCTGTATTCCTCCCAAGTGGCCTGTCCCCTTTTCCACATTCTGTACACTTCCTTCTTCTGCTGGAGTTTGGCCAGGAGTTCCTTGCTCATCCATGCAGGTCTCCTGCCTGCTTTGCTGAACTTCTTCCTCAGAGGGATGCACTGATCCTGAGCCTGGAGGAAGTGACGAAAAGGCCACCCTTCATTTGTTGGCCTTGCCAAGGTAATGCGGTTGTTCTGAAACAGATCTCTGCGTAAGTTTGCTAAGATGGCAGATCGAGAATATCTTATATTGCTGTTTGCTATGTATGTACAAAGTCATTTGGAAAACTGCTGGCGTAACCTTCAGTCTCCTTAACGCTGCACGCTGGTTCCAGACTGAGGGCAGATCCCGTCGAACCCTAGTCAGAGCAAAGTCTCTTGCTGACCTTCTATTGCTACTGATGTCAGAACATGATCCAAACAACACGAAAAGTGTTGCTAGCGGAGGCTGTACCAGGACAGTCAGGAAGCCTTTCCTATCTGGTGATGACATTATTCATTGCTTGGCTTTGGAGACGTTCTTTACCACCAGTTGAAGTTAGAATATCAAATGTTGCAGAGAGCAATGGGGTTATTTTAATTTTTACGAAGGTGGTCATCTAACAGCACGTTGAGGAGCTGTTAACTACTGCAGCATGGCACAAATCTGAACTATTGCAACAGCAAATATTTTCATAGCTATAGGTTAGGCTAGGCTATTTCGGAAATGGAACTTGAATCCCTAATAATGAAATTAACTTTGAGAAGAGAAAATTGGCACGAAGGCTGGTTGCTCGCATGTTAGCATGCTTGCTGCGTTGTTAGCATGATCGTTAAAATGAGCAGGATTTCAAGAGGCGATCACAGAGTAACACTTACTGGATCAGAAAATAGTTGCAATTGAAAGCATTAGAATTTTGCTTTAGATGTGAATAAAGCATTCGTTATGTAACTTGAAATTTTACGGAAGCATTGGATTGTAATTCTCAGCTATCAAAGGGTAGTAAGCAAGAGGGTGAGCAAATTTCCAGTTACGAGAGGTATCTTAAAGCTTTCGTTTAACAGTGTCGGTAAAATCTGGGAATAGTAATAAACATGACATTGCAATGCCCCACTTTTTCAAATGTATGATCTACTTTATATTCTGGGATTCTAAGAGCTATAAAAATGCAAAGCGGTGTTAATGCAGCACTGGAAGATACTATGTCAAGATGCGCTTTTAGAAAGTCTAAAGGAAACACCACAGTACAGGGAGAAAGTGGAAAACAAATTTAACAGCAGAAGCCAGTAAGTAATGAAGTTAGGGAATCTGCAAGAAAATAAAGCTAGAGGCAGATAATTTAAAGCAGAACCTTGGTAGAAATATTTGGGAAGGGCATGCTGGATTTGAAAGTAAGTAGACTGTGTTGCTCTGACTGCTTTGGTGACTGGACTACGGAGTAATACTTAAAGACAGCAGATCACTGGCTGCGGAAAGCCTAGTCTCTCTTAGGACCAAAACCAGCCTGATCAGAAGAGAAGTAGTTGCTTAGAGAGGATGTGTGCTATTGTTTACATCTGGTTTGGCTTGTGTGAACGGTGCTTTGAATTACAAGTTCTTGTGTTGATTGGTACCTTCCAAGCTAGCAAGGTTAGTGCAAAGGAGAGGCAACTGAGATGGGCTGGAGATGTCCCAGACATGTCTGTGCCTTGGAAAAAACACGGGAGCAGAGAGAGAAGTTAAGGAGGTTTTAAAGGAGTTATAATCACTTGCGATGAAGTAGAGAAAATGAGATTTGGCACTGAATACTGTAATTTCTCACTAAGAAGTAATCCTCTAGGCTAGCCCTCAGCCTTCAGCTACGTATATTGTATTTTGCGCTGGCAGAGACGGAAGAAAGAGGAAGTCACTATTCTGTGGACAGATCTCTGCTGAATGAGTTATCTCATTCTGAAGAAGCCACAGAAGCAATGACAAGTTGTGCTGGCTGGATGTGCCTTCACATCTCCCCTTTCTCTCATCTCCTGAAGTGTTGCTGCCTCACCAGGTAGCTTTTAGAGTGATTGATTGATTTCAGGTGACTTTCCAAGAGAAGGAAATTAACGGGCGCTTATTCTAGAACAAGACCAAAATTTCTAGTTCTCAGATGAATCAGGGTATTTGTGTGTTCTTGGAAGAGAACATACTGTCCGGAGTTTACAAGACCTCTTAGAACTACTGACAACTCAAAGACAAACCTATAATGTCAGTTCTGTTAACGTGCAACAGGATACATGGAGCGCTGCTACATGGCAAGTCTGAACTAGGTCATTTCCAGGTGAGAATAGGGCAGATGCATACTTACGTAGCGTGAACATTTAATCTTTTTTATAGGCTAACCACAATAGTCTTCATATTATTAATCTTGAACTCATTCAACACTTAAATTTATGCACACAAGCAATGCTAAGCAAGCACAGTAACACACTTCAGACATAATTACTCAAAATACACCGTCAGATTCTACTTTGAGTATCTTAACTTGAAGTATTTTCTGTTTTTATTTAATTTGATTTGTTGCCTGTTCTTCCTATGTGCTTTCCAAAAACAGTTAGTATTCTGGGTTGGTGGATGAGAAGGTAAAGGAAGGGATACGCAAACTACAGGATTTATAACTGAAAGAATGTTTTATTTCCAGTAAATCCTAAAGTTTAGTTATAAATGTTTTTTCCCTAATGTATTTAACCTGGATTGTTCTTATCACGGGAACTGGTCTTGGAACCATTTTAAATCGGTGCAATACTTCAGAGGGGAAGGGGAGAAGAGAGACAACTCACACAGTGTGATTTCTGTCTCATGAAACTATTTTACTCTCTGCATCACGGTGAGATGGGAGAGAATCAGAACGGAGCAGATAGCGCTGTGCCATGCTGTGTAGGGATATTCGTGTTACGTGGGAGACCTGAAACCACCACAGCAGTGCTAGCAAAGCATTCCACCTGCCCAGTTGCACTGGCCAAGAGGAGGGTATATTAGCAAGGATGGAGCACTACCCGAATCTATCCTGTTCCGTTCCAAACCTGGATGCGGTTCCATTGCCTCATGATGTGCCCCTTGGACTGTTCAGTGGCTCCTGCTTGGCATATTTGAATTGGAATCCCTGTAATTTTCCTATGATTAAAACCTGTGTTTGTGTGAGATGGATCGAGCTTGCCAGTGTAAGACAGCAGTGATGTGATCTTAACATCGCAGCACAGGATTAACTTTGAAAGATAAACACTTACGGAGTCTCCCATGGTGCTCAGAGCTTGAAGGCTCACGCAGAGTCGTTACGACCTTGATTGCCTTTTTGCATAGAACCATATGGCACCTTTCACTTTATATTCTGTTTTTGGTTTTTTGAATCGATCATAAGGAATGCCTGAGACGTTTTCATAGCTGAGTAAATTTAATTTCCATAGCTGTGTAAGTTGAGAGTGGTGCTCTTTAGGATTTTATAAGGAAGTATTTAAGTCTGACTGAATTTAGACATTGTTCAAGGCTCAGTTTTGTTGCTCCTTCCAATTTTTGTCATTTAATCTTCCTATGAAGCTGAAGATTTGGCCTAGCAAGGACATATCCTCCATGAATTTGCACAACTCTAAGTAGAGATGGACTTACTAAACTGCTTTGAAAATGCCTACTCTGTTCTTGTTTTTTTTAACAGTAATGGTATGTTTGCTGCTTTATAACTTTCTTCTTTATTTTCTTTATTTGCAGTGATGTGGTTGCATGACCTGCAGCATTATTGTAACAGGGACTGTTCAGTGCATGACTTGCTTTTCTGTCCAGACTGCATAACCAAAACTTAACCTGTTCTACACTTAAGACTCACGGGCATCTGGTTTCAAAGAGAGAGATCCACTTGCAGAGAAACTTACATCTTGGGGAGTGGCTTCCCCATTTCCCATCTCAATTTTCTCTCTCGCGTCACAAAAAGTCTCCTATGAGGCTAGAAGAGAGAAAATCCAGTATTCAGAAGTCCACAGAAGTCATTCTGCAAACTGAAAGAGCGCTGTCAGCTCTACGTTTTACTTCTGTCCTGTCTGTCCACTTAACTTAATTCTGATTAACAGTATTAACACACAGACTTCCTGCGACATTTTCATGTACTGAACTATAAAAGTCTAGTTTCAGTGAGTTCATGAAAGCACCTTTTGGTTACTGGAGCAATTTTAAAGTAAACGTACCCTTAACGGATCCACTTGGAATCTTTAATTAGAGCCGAGAAGGTGTTCTCACAGGAGAAATGACTAATGAATCACTGCTTGGCCAGCCCATCTTCCTTAGAAAACCAAGCAAGATTCATCTGATAATCTCCGAGCCAGGCAAACTATTGAGCAGTATTTTGTTCACAGACACTGCCTGCTTCCTTATTATGTATATACACAGTAGTTGGTGGCTGTCGTATTTTTCTCTCTACATTTTAGCTGTGTTGTCAGTTTCCTTCAGAGGCATTTTTTCCAATTCCTGTACAATTGTTAAACAATCTGAGGAAAGAACATGGATGGAGATAACAAGTATGAAAGCAGTCTACAATTTCAGTATTATGCATATGGTCCTTGCCAGTTTATAATTTGGATCGTTTATCTTTTACCTGTACTATTACCTTTTTTTTTTTTTTTTCCTCCTGATCCCAGTCTTAGCTATTTCATTTCCAATTGCACTAGCATGGCTGTTTCTTTGTATTATGAAGTTTTGCTATAAGATTTTGCCGTATGTAGACAGTGTAACTCAAAATGCTTTGTGCTGCCTATATTAATTTTAAAAGCTGCTTATTTAATATTCTTAAATATCTGCACATTTGTACTACTACTGTATTTTCATTTTGTGTTGGACCTCCAGCACCGGCAGGATTCAAAGATGAGCGGGTGCTGTTGTGTTCTGGGGATAGACATTTATTGTATAGGAGTTAGTCTGTAACATATAGGGGAGGGGGCTTTTAAGCCGTAGGACTTGCCAAAAAATCTGAAAAGAATGAATGAATGATGAGTACTTTATGTTGTTTGGTTTAAGTCCGATTCTAGAGAAACCCTATTCTTGCTCACTTGGACCTCAGTCCTGCAAAAATATAAACATGTCTTTACCCTGCTTACTGCAATAATAGTTTTGTGTGTTTGGGCCCGCAGCTGTAACCATGACCCCTGTTTTTCACGTGAGCACCCCCACGCTGGAGAAGTATTGTGTTTTCACGGGAAGGTGTGTGCCCCGTGCTGAGGGGAAGGGCTGGTGAGAACCAGGCTCCAGGCTGACTGTGCAGGGGATGAGCGTTAAGATCCCAAGAGAGGTTGAAGCTTGAGGCTTGCTCTCTCCTGGGTGAGTAGAGACAGACTGAGGAGCCTGTGGCTGCCAGAAGCTCTTTGGCCAAGAGCAGTCTGGGAATGCTCCCTGCTGTTTAGGAGATGGGGACATGTCTGTCTTGGTCCACCAGGATCCAGGACTAGTGAAGTCTGACTTGACCCGTAGGAAGTACCAAGCAGGGACGTGCCAAGGGTTCCCGCAGCAGAGGTGGGAGCACCTTGATCAGACCGAGTCCTGTGGAGAGCTAAAGGATTTGGATCTTTTCAGGTCGTAGCCGTAGATCTCTTATTAAGCCTTAGGGCAAGCTGTGGTAGCAAAACTTCTCTTTTTGTTGGGTACTAAGGGCATGGTTTGCATCACGTTTGCAAGTGCTGCTGCAGCTGGGACCACGTGCCTTCCCCAGGCCTCGCAGTTGCAGGACTTCTGAAGCTGGTATTTCTGTGCGTGGTGGATGGGTGGCTGGCTTTGCTGTGCCTGTCTGGATGGGTGTCCCGAGGCGAAGTGGAGCTCGTTTCTCCCAGTGGTCTGTGCATATTAGAAACTACGTATCAGTTGTTCTTGAACCTGAAGTCATTTATTTGTAAGTGTGTTTAGCTTGACAAAAATTATCGGCAGAGAAATGCCAGATGGAGCCAGTAACTTTCAGTAAATGAGCTGGCTGTTTTAATTAGATTTGCCTAGCATCTCTGTCATGAAGTTTTTGCCAGCTCCCAACTCAGAAGTGATCTCCAGCATGTCTGATATACTAACTTCATTTGTGCTGCATAGAAGACTTCTTTTACTTTCTTAATAGCAGCTTGTTTGACAGTCCTGAATTAAGTGTTGACCAATTATCAAAGTAACTGTTTGTGAAATTACCGGTGATATATTTTTTTTCAGGTAAGAGAATGGATTCCTAGAGCGTCAAAACATTAATTTCCCATTTCCGTTCACCTATGAATTCTGTAACTACCAGATTGTCATGGTAGCAGTATTAATATATACATACCTGTATATAGACAAAAAATTCTCAGTAATGATCATTAGAATTAAAACATTTAATATTTTTCCCAGTGAAATACACTAATGCTTCCAGGGTTACAGAAGAGTGTACAGTTGTTAAACAAGTTGTAAATAAAGGCTTATATAAAATGTAAATGCTTGTTTTTCCTCTGTTCAGTACTGTGTTATAAACAGAAGCCAAAACACATGTTAAAATTACAGGTTTGAGTCTGAAGTGTTATTTGCTATGTAAGATGGTGTTAGCTGGTGGTGCCTTTTGCAGCCAGCTGGTGATTACCAAGGATATCAGTGGATTGGGAATAGCATGGAGAATACAAAGCAAGTGTAAATTAGATAACAAGAAATGCAGACAAGGTGAAACAGCAAACAGCAGTCAGTTGATGCTTTTGCCTGTAGTGCATGGAGATGTGTAGGCTGCTGCTGACTTGAACTACAAAGCTATGTGAAAAAGATGGTGCTGCTTCCAGGCTTGAGAAGGAAGGAATTAGAGCCCTAAATAAGTTAGTATTCTAGAAAATGAATGACAGCAAATGATAAACAAAAAAGGTGTTACCACAGGTGTATGGGAAACCAGCTGACAGTTTATCTCATTGGAGTCAGCTGCTAACAAGTCCAACCAGGATGAGTGGAGCAGCAAGGATTCCGTTTACTGCTGCCTTCAATTAATAATTACATTTTTTTTTAAAAAAAAAGGCTGCTAATCCATATATCAAAATAAAATATCTATGCATTTGTTCCAAGATGCAGATTCTGATCCTACTCCTCTGCAGTTTTTTATCCATTTTCTGATTGCAAACACGCAGCAATAACCACCCTTTTAAGACTATAGACGCTAAAGAGGTGGTTGAGCACTTGATTACTTCCTCTGGTATTTCTAGTAAATCTTTAAAAGAAGTACAAGTTATAGTTATTTCCAAAAAAAAGGACAGTAAGAGGTGGTTGCAGACGTCCCAGCAAAGAAAATCACCTGTACAGGGAGGAGAGCCCATGCTTTCAGCTGGAACTGAATTACCTGGTAGCCCTGGTACAACCCAAAGAACCACCTCAGGAACAGCTGATCCCTCTGTCCTCACACTGCAGGGCACCACCACAAGGGTGGGTGCCACTGGTGAGGGCTGGAGCAGGCTGCGGTGGCGTGTCCTTACCAGCAGATAACCTGTTGCCTTTGTTTCCTAGGGCATAAGAAACCACAGAGGAAAGGAAAGGGTGGTGCAAGGCTAAGCACGATCAGCTAAGGCGTGAAGAGAGGATGAGTCTCTGTCCAACCTTGTTTTGGGGTGGAGTGATTCCCTGCAGAAACCAAGAACCACCACGTGGCCTTGTGAAAACCTGGACGACAAGCTTCAACCCCAGGAAAGAACAATTTCAGCTGAGATAGCAACCACCATAAAATACAGTTCAGGGACAGGGGACGAAGGAACCCCTGGCGCCCTCAGAAGAGGTAGGGTCCCTAGGACAGAAGTGGGGAGGGGATGGAAGTAGAGGTGGGGACATGAACCCTCTGTGATGGTTCTGTCCCTGTGAGCTGTGCTGGCTGCCTTGCCCTCAGCACTTGGTCTCAAAGGAATAAAGGAAAAAGGAGAGGCTGCTGCAAGCTTTGCTAGTGGGATGAGTGGGAGAAACGCAAATCACAACTCATGCTGACTAGGACAGTTTTTCTTCATTAAGCTAGTATTGTTAATAGAGGCAAGCTGTAGTTATTAATAGCAGATGATTACTCACATCATGCGTTCACTTACTCCCTCATGTAGCTCATCTGCCTGCACGGCGTTGCCTGCTGTTCCCCGGCTGGAGCAGGCTGTGGGGCCAGCGCCAGGGCTGTGCTCAGAGGCAGAGGGTCAGGCTGGAGGCTGCCTTGTCAGACAAGTGTTCAGCAAGTCCCTGAAGGGCCCCCTTGTTTCCTCCATGTTATTGTAAACCACGGTCTTTGTCTGCTGCTAGCAGCCACTGCCTGCTTGGATGTGGTTGTCGTCGGTGCCAGTGCGTGCTGGTAGCCCTGAGCTAAGTTGACCAATCCTTGTGTGCTGAGTTTAATGGCTCCTCCTCATCCGAGAGGATCCTGGTCTCTGGGCCTGATTAGTCCTTAGGAGACTTTCCACACACAGCCTCTCAGCAGGTGCATTTTCCCTCTCTGGGCAGCTGTTTTTTGGTGATTGTTTTTCCATGCACACTCGGAGGTACCCATAGAGCCCACTCACAGGGTGAGAAGTGGCATTCCTGACACACCAGTACCAGCCTGTCAGTGCAGGGTAGAAATTGTATGTGCTAAGGATGCTGCATAAAGATGGAAATCTAACCTGAGCAAAATAAAGCTATACCTTGCCTATTTGGGTTGAAATGAGTCAACACAAAAAACACCTGAAAACATTTACCTGAACTTGTACAAGCAGGGAATTTTTGGTGCCAGTTGTTCTGATAAAGCAGATATGCCTGACTCCTGGCTCAGGCCTACTCACAGGAGCCATGTCTTAGCTATGCAAATGACAACTTCTTGCCTCATTCCCCAAGGCCTGTGCAAAGGAGATTGGTGGGAGTACCTCAGAAAACATGAACCTCCTGGCTTTTCCTGGAAAGCAACAGATCTGGCTAGCCCATCAAAGTTCAGCTATAGCGGTAGCTAAAGGAGGGGAAAAAAAATTCACTGCTAATATGAGTAGAAACAGATGCCTTCCTTTCTGTACTGCTAAATTGCTTTGCAATTTTGGGGGGGGGGAAGACATGAGAAACAGGATGCTAAGAATCAGGCCTGGCTCCAACTTGTTTACTGGGAAAGAGAAGGCAACGGCCAGCAGCAGACACTGAGTCCCCAGGCGTTGTGCCTGGGGCCGCTGCTGAGAAGGATGCACAAGTGCCTTGTGACTACCCCCTCCCACCCTCCTTGTTGTTCCCCCAACAAGGAATGGTGGGAGAGCAGAAATGGGAGGGCAAAGTCCTGTTGTTCTGCACTCCCAGGGCTGCATGCCCTGATGCGGAGCCAGCAGCTCCAGCCTGGGCTGTGTGCGGGCGCTGCCGCAAGAGTTGACATTGCT